GTGCTGGGGCTTCTACTTTTAAATAGGTTCTAGATTTCTGGTGGAATTCCTGAACATCCTCATCCGGGTTCTTTTAAATCGTGTTAGACAATGCCACTTTCTGAATCGCCCATGTGTCCGTTTCTACTTTCCTGTTGGTTTTTGGTCATTTGGTACTGTTTCCTGGTCTGCCTTGTCAATTTAATTGAATGCTGGACATTGTGCATGAAAAATATAGAGGCTTTGAGTGAAGCTAACTTTTTCCACATAGGTCCTAACTTTCTCCTAGCAGACAGGCAGGTCATTTGGATGCAGTCACAGCTCAACGGGGCCTGACTTTTCCTTATTCCCCTTTACACCCTTTCCCGAATAACTGGGTATTTACCAGGTCCCATCTTCCTTGTCAGGCCCTGAACTCCAAGACTTCTCTCAGCCTTGTGACATTGTCAAAATCTCTTCTTCGGTTTTCGGCCTCTTGCCAGATTCTCTCTGCTGCTGGGTCATTTGCAATGACTTGGCAAATGATTTGAGGGGAAATTGCGTGCAGGATTCCAATGCATTTTTTTTTTTTTTGCTCTCTCTCTGGAACCCCGGCCTCTCAACTACTCTCTAACTTGGTCGCTCTCTCTCGTGTCTTCTCACGTTTTTTTCTTGCTTAGTAGCTGTTCTCGACCGTAAGGCTTCCATCTGATAACAGCTACTCCACCGTAGCCAGAAATGGAAGTCCCCCTTCACGTTTTATTTTTGCAAAGACGACATTAACTGACATGTGACCTTTTATGAAACAGTTCGGTCGTACAAAAAGGTGTATTAGATGATAGAGTCAACACCCATGGGAGCTTTGCTCGGTTTCACTTGACACATTTGGATACCACCGCCCCCCCATCCCATCCCTTCCTTTTCTACACTATTCAGAGTTTGATGTTTTTTTTATCGTCACCTTGAATTTCTTTATACGGCCAGGACACAGGTATGTTCACCTAAACGATAGCGAGAGCGCTGTTTTACACAGGGTTTTTGTGACAGAGATGGTCTTACATGAATTTCTGCTTATTTTATTTTATCTTCATCATGCATTTTGCTTGTGGGGGTCACTCGCTTTGTTGGTGCGGAGCGACGATTCATTTTCACACGGAGCGATCACACCGCAACTCGTCTTTCCATTCTCTCGCGGAAGGGTATCCACATTATTTCCCAGACGCGAATGGCCGTCGATAGGTGTTTCCATGACACCGTGTCCTCAGCGCCACGCGATGTTGTCAGACTTTGAATTGTCACCAACCTAGTAAAATTAAACGGCACGTCATTGTGGTTTTCATTTGCATGTCTTTCTTGACTGTGAGGTTAAGCACTTTCTGATCCCATGGCCCCTCCTTCTCCTGCTTCTGATTTCCGACCTCCAAGCTTCTCTACTTCCCTAGAATCTCCTGGAATTCGGCTTTTAGTCTGAACTACTACAACCCCTGAACTCCGAGCCTGGTGGATAAACACCCCTCCAGGGCTCCGGTCCATCCCCATTTTACAGATGAGAACACAGAGAATCAGAGGGGCCGGGAACTTGCCCAAGGACGCACAGCTGGGATCCGGGCGCCCTTCACTCCTCTGTAGGAGGGAGACCCCAGCGGTAGGCCCTTCCACAGGGGGTCCCACCGCAGGAAGGCGCCTAGGGGACCCTCTGCCCTTCGCTCAGAAAGCACACGGGAGGTTTGGTGTGCACCTGGGGAGAAAGTGCTGTTGTCCCTACGACTCAGCCTGAGCACGAAGACCCACCGAGGGGCAGACTCTGGCGCAGGGAGAGCGCGATGGGACCGGGGAGGAGGCCTTTACCACTCTGGGCTGTTGTTTCCCAAAGGGAGGGGCTGACTTTAGGTGTGAAATATCCCTGCACCCCCGAATGAAAGAGTTAGGCCTTTTTCAGTCTTCTTTTGGTCCTCTGATCCGGGGAGTGGGGAGAATCTCAGTTTGGCGCTGTGTGGCCCTCGACACCCCTCTGATGCTCTTGAACCCTCCTTTTCGATGGACGCGGGCGGGATTGCCCCACTTGCACGTGTCAGGCGGGAGATGGCATCTCACCCAAATTCAGTTGCTCTCTTTTGTTTCCCTTGCGTTTAGTTGGACAGCCGAGCAACCATTTTGTTTCAGAAACACCAACAGAACATCTACAAATATGTTGGGCACTGTTCCCGAGGCTTTACAAACACTGAGTAACGTACTTCTCCCAGGGCCCCTCCGAGGTGGGTACGGTTAGGATTGTCTCCATTTCACTGATGAGGACTCTGAGGCCCGGGAAGTTTCCCTGAGGTCACACCGGCTATAAACGGCAGTGCTGGGGTCTGAGCTGAGGCAGGCTGGCCCTGAGCCTGTGTTTTAACCACCGCGGTGACACGGTCTCTCCATTTCATACGAGTTACCTGTTGATTGCAGGGATTCATTTCCTTTCGGGACGTGTTTATTGGAGCCAGAAATGGAAGGCAAGGTAAAGATCATTAGCAAGTAGGTAATAGCGCCCGTGAAAACCTTGAAGGCAGTTAAGGGGCAGGCGTTCTGGAACATTCCAAGGAGGCTTCACGGATACAAAGGTAGAGGAAGGGGGCCATGAAGACTGAGTTTGGAGGGTCGGGAGGGGGAAAGGTGTTCGAGGAGAAGACTCAGCACACGAATTCGCCTCATGCAAAGGCAGAGAGGCATGATGGGGCCTCAGGGCTAAGGGGGTGCTGAGTAATTCACAGAAGCTGGCCAGTAATTGCAAGAACCCAACACCTTTGTATAGTATTTTACACTTCACGGAGCACTGTCACATCTGTTTTCCACTGACCCGAACTGCCAGGTGCAGTGGGCATGATTGTCCCCCTTTTAGAGATGATAACCGAGGTCAGAGAGAAGAAACACCAGAGATAAGCTGTTATTTGCTCCGAGATACGCTGGCTTCAGATTCTGGGCCCCTTGCTCTATTCCACTGTATCCAGATATCTTTAGGGGCAAGCAAGAGAAATATAATTCAATGTGGTTGAGCCAAATAGGGTGTGTTTTTTCTCCAGCTTGTATAAATGAAAAGGCCAGAGGTGGACATCAGATACGGCTGGATCCAGGTCCTCAAATAATGCCATGGGGACTCTGGATTTGTATTTCTCAGGTTTTGAGAAAGTTTCAGGCAGGCTGTCCTTAAGAGGTGATAAAGATTACCAGCTTCCAGGGGCCCCCCTGGGTGGCTCAGTCGGTTGAGCGTCCGGCTTCGGCTCAGGTCATGATCTCGCGGTCCGTGGGTTCGAGCCCCGCGTCAGGCTCTGTGCTGACAGCCTGGAGCCTGGAGTCCGCTTCATGTTATGCGTCCCCCGCTCTCTCTGCCCCACCCCTGCTTGTGCTCTGTCTCTCTCTGTCTTTCAAAAAAAAAAAAAATTAAAAAAAAAAAAAAAAGATTACCAGCTTCCAGCAGGCTGGTAAAAACTGAAAAGTTTTTGTCTTCAACACTATTTTATCCGGTTCTATCTTCACGTACGTACAACAGCCAGCGCTCAGCAGCCAACATTATTTTATTTTCATAGCTATGCTATTTATTTTAAGGTGTGTGAGGAAAAAACCCAAGAGCTCTGGATATTATTGCTTAGGATGAGTCTGGAGTTAGATTTCTTTAAACAATTTTATGTATTATTTAGTTTCAAGAGACAAAGAGAGCAGGAGAAGGGCAGAGAGAGAGAGGGAGAGAATCCCAAGCTGGCCCTGTGCTGCCAGGGCAGAGCCCGATGCGGGGCTCAAACCCACGAACCGTGAGATCACCACCTGAGCTGAAACCAAGAGTCAGATGCTTAACCGACTGAGCCACCCAGGCGCCCCGCTGGAGTTAGATTTTTTTAAGGGAGCTCGTTTATAGAAAACATTAAATAAATGATAGTACACACAACCTACAAATACGGCCCACATTTTGAAAGTGAGAAATTTAGAGACCTCTTGGCTAGAGCATTCCGGGGTCCCTCTACTTCGAATGCTCTAAGGTCTGTGTATGAGTCACAGCTGTGTGTTGAGTGTTTATGTGTCAGGGGCCACGTCCAGGGTTGTCTGCAAAATGCTGTTTTGAACTCTCACAAGAATCTGGGAAGCAGGCTTTACCGTCTCTCTAGGGCTCAGAGAGGGGAAGTGACCAGCCCAGAGCAACGCAGCTGGTGATCCCAACCTCTCAGTGCGCTTAGCCACTGCCTGCTTGGTGACTCGTTAGGGAGCTCAGAGGGAGCTCTTAGTGGGGCCAGAGTAGGGTGGGGGGAAACCCAGGATGGCGGGGGAAGGGGGTGTCTTCCCAATGTGGGCTCAGGGATCGTGTCTGGAAGAAGCCGCGTGTATAGCTCAGCCCCTGCATGGGTCATCCCTCTAGGCTCCCGTTCCAGCTACAGTCCTGACCCCAGGGGCCAGTGTGGATGGGGCTCCCGGGCCTGGGCAGGTGAACCCCGGGGCCTCTGGCTGGCACCTGCTTAAGCAGACACAGAGCTGGGATGCAGCAGGCAAAGTGCCCACAAGAGGCCTGCAGTGCCAGCCTGGTGGGTCGTTCCTCCCGGGCAGGTCCGTGCAGTTCTCCAAAGAGGCCTCTCCTCCGTCTCGTCCGGGTCCCGGAGTCAGGGTGTGGGTCCTCCGGGGGGTCCGGCCTGGGTTCCCCACAAGCTTCCTAGCGTACTCACTAACCTGGGCTCTGTGACCGACGCGGAAGTCTCGTTCCGGGCTCACCTTATCTTTGGAATCCAGGAGGGCTCTCCTTCATGGGCTAACCCTTGGATCTGCTATTCAGTGGGGAGCCCGTCTGTCCGGCCAACTAGCATCCACACGGGTGCTTCGTGGAGAACAGGACTCAAGATCTCTGCTTGTCAAATACCAGTGTCCCCTCCCCTGGGAGCGTCCACGGGCTCCTCAAACTCTGGCTTCTCCAAGAATCCGAGGCCAGGCTTCCAAGGGAGGGAAAGGACCAGAGACGGGGAGGCTGTTCGGGGTCCCTGGGTCCCCAGGCCTGGGCCCGCCCTCTCACTGTGCATCTCTTCCAGGATCCCGAGAGCCAGCATGCTGTGTGGCTGGGCGGCCCCTCTGTTCCTGCTGATGCTCCAGGGTGGTGAGTAGGGGCCCCCCCCAGGTCTGCGGGTGGGGAGGACCGGGCTGGCCTGTGGGATCCGGGGAATGGCTGGAAGCTCCGGGACAGGGGCTGTGGTGTCTGCCCGCTTGGGCTGGACCAGCCCGCTCTGTCAAGCTGAACCCGTGCAACCGCAGGGCTCCGTTAGCCGGGAGGGGGTGGTGTTGAGTCCCGCGGGCGGCCCGGCTTCTGCAGCAAACAGCTGGGGTCTTCGGGTCCACCTGAGGGGGTAAGAGACTCCTTGGTCTCTGCAGCTGCCACTCCTCGGAGTGAGGAAGTCCTGCCTTTGGGCTAACCTCCTTTTGTCTTGATGGACTGGCTCTCCTGAGAGATGTTTTTCAACAACCACAGGATCCTCAGCAGGCACGGATGGTCCCCAGTTGGGGGGGAGGAGGGGAGGTGGAGACCAAAGTAGCCAAACCCTGGAAGGCGCCCCAGGGGACTAGAGGACGCTGCAGTTCGGAGGGAGAGAAGTCAGAGACCTGCGCTGGGAAAGGCCAGAGGTTAGACTTGGAGGCACAGCGGGGGCTGAGAGATCCAGGAAGCCTTCCCGGAGGAGGCGGGACGCGGCATCCAGGCTCAACAGTGGGGCTGGACTGGAAGCAGGGTCCCTCGGCCGCTGCTCTGCTGACTCTGAATTTCTCTCTGGTTTTTACCGAAAGACCCAGAGCTTCAAATAGTTTCTTCAGGAAACAGATGTCTGCCTCTTTTATTTTCCTCTTCTGAGTGACCAGCACCCGTGCTAGGTCACCCGCCAGGGGGCCACGCCCCGTGGGTGCAAATAATAATCCCTCCCTGCGTACTGGGTGCCGGGAATCACCTCACCGCCCCGTGCAGTCCGTGCAGTCCGTGCTGCCCGGACATCCGGTTCTCACTTGAGAACACCAAGGCTCAGAGAGGTTGAGGGATAGGCCCAGAGCCACACAGCCAGGCCGCTGGAACCCTAAGTCTGTCTCATCCCTGTGGGCTTAGCCTCTTTGCTTTGCTGCTTTAACTGAGTGCCCCGGACAGGCAGCGTGGTCTGTGCTGGTGTGATGCCACCCGCATACGCCCACACCCTCCACGGGGGCCAGTGTCCCCAGCTTACAATCAGGGAGTCGGAGCAGTCATGAGTCACACGTCCACTTTTCCGGCCTCTCGCAGCCTCCTGTGCGCTTTGCTGACCCGGGGCAGGGGGTGGCCCGGGGGTTGGGCTACCGACCAGGCGACTAGGCCCCTGAAAGCACATCCACGCTGGCTTCGTGGCTGCTGTCCCCTCCCCAGTGTCTCATGTTAAGTTTGGGACAAACTTTGTCCCTTGGTGACCTCGAGCCTGGCTGGGAATGGCAGCTCCTCTCCAAGTTCTGGAACCCCGAGGGAGAATAACCAGAGCATAAACAAGGAGTATATGAACGTGGCCAGCACGGTGGCTTCTGTGGCCCCGGGGTCTAGGCCCTGCCAAGATCAAGACAAAAGAGGTTTTCACCACCAAGTGTCGGCGCGGGGCCCCTGGGTTCCTCCCCGGGGGTGGGGGGATGCCTCCTCCTAGAGCTGGACTCCCCGCCACAACTCAGCGCCCTTGGTGATGGCCACACGGAGAATTGTGTTGAGGAGGATTCTGAGGGTCGCCCAGGGGAGAGAGTGCCGTGATCGATTAGTAATGTCTGCTGCGCCTGCGGATGTCAGTCGGTAGCTCAGATGAGATTTTCCTTTCCTGGGTGAGCGTCCCCGCGACCCAGACCCAGACCCGGACCCGGACCCGGACCCGGACCCGGACCCAGAGTGGCTGGAGGTGTGGTCCAGTCTCAGAGCCTGCAGGTCTTCATCTATAAGATGGCAGGGGCAGCCGAAGAAGGGTTTTCTGGCAACAGCCTCCTTGCCTGCAGATCTGGCTTCTGGCCTGAAGTGAGGCCCAGGAAGGGAATGTACCCACCACCCCCTTGGGCCTTCATTAGTGAAGGACACATAGGAAAACAGCCACTAAGAATGAATCCGCTTAAAAAGGGGAACGAATTTCTGGTAAATAGCTGGGGGGTTGGGGGCGGGGGAAACAGGACTCTTGGCCCCTGATCTTACGAAACCAAACGAAGCTGAAGGTTATTAGATGTGTTGTCAAACATGTAGGTGCATTTAGGCTACGATTGCACCTACGCCTTTAGAATAAAGGGGAGCGATTCATGTCGGGGGTGGGAGAGCATGGAATCTCCCAACAAAACGGCCCACGTCACTCGGCGGAGGCAGCGGTGTGGCCAGAAGGATAATACGTTTTGGCCAAAGTTTTTGAAGGCTTCTTGGTTTGGGGGGATGTTTTCTTACTCCTTCGACGCCCTTCCGGCCCCACGGAGGTCCGTGCCCTGTCCCGCACCAGCTGCTGTGAAACAGAGGGCTCCTCCTTGTTGGGGGCTTGGGGGCATTTTCCAGCTTTGTTCCCGGTGACCTCACAAATCCCTCTCGCAGGACCTGCAGATTCACCCCTGCGTCTGGGGAGTTCAGGATTTGCCACCGAGAAGGGGACTGGCCAGGAGGGACACAGAGCTGGTGGCTGGACACGGGGCTCAGGGGAGAGAGGGCTGAGGGGGGTGGGGGCCGCTTCGTTTGTTACGTTTCACATTCAGGGTGTCCTGTCTCCATAGCTAGCCTTGAAACTCGGGGGTCACACAAGGGACTCCTAGGTGGCAGGGACCCCCTTCCCCAAGCCCGCATCTCAGTGGCTCCTGGGTTGCCATATTCGTCCTGACCCCGGGATCCCCGCCTCCACTCGCCCTCCAGCCCTCGAGGGGGTGAAGGAGTGAGGCTCCTCTCGACCTCCGGCCCGCCCCCCACCGCGGCCTCTCTCTTCCTAACCTTCCAGCCTGGGGTTGCCTAGACCTCGTCTGCTACACCGATTACTTCAAGACAGTCACCTGCACCCTGGAGACATGGACCCTCCACCCCGGCACGCTCACCCTTACCTGGTAAGTGGCCGGGCCTCGCCGGGCCTCACCGGCCCTGGGACTGCCTGGGTGGAGCGGGACCGCGGGAGACCACAGGCCGAGCTGGACCCACTGTGTGCCGGGCACGTGGCTTAGCAATTAAAATAACAGCCGCCACTTCCGGACGGTCCTGTCAGCAATGTCACCAGCAGCATGTGGTTTAGCCCCAAGAAAGACTGTGAGCCTGGAATCACCGTGCCGGTCTTAAGGACGGCCACATGGGGCCCACCGACGTGTCCGGAGCATGCCCTTGAGAGATGAACGGGGCAGTTCGGTCCAGCTCCAAAGGCTGTACTCTCTCGCCCACGGATGCCCAATTGTAATTTTGAGACCCGCGGATGACCAGACTCCCACGTGATTTTTTTTTGAGCCCTCCGTGCCTCCCTGCTCCGTGCTTCCTGTGAATGATCCCTTCCAGTCCTCACGATTATTGCACCCGTTTTACAAACGAGGACTCCGGGGTTCAGAGAGGTTATGCAACTTGCCCAAGGTCGCACAGCTGGTGACTGGTGGAGCTGGGGTTGAAACACAGGCCGCTTGATTCCAAAATCCGCGGGGCCCCCATCCGTCCGTATGGTGAAAAAAAAGCTCACTGACGACACTCGTTTAAGAATGGTGGGACAGGAAAAGCAGGGATTTAGAGCCAAGGAGCAGGGGTGGGGTCAGTGGATAGAAAATTACCAATAGGACGAGGCCAGGGTAAGGGGGTTTCTGGCTAAATGACCTAATAGGGTTCTTGCTGACGGCAGCTCGGGCTGGTCAGGTGTCGCCCAGGGGGATGGTGGGAAGTGAGGAACCTCGTCAGACATCCAGGGCCGGGGGATTCTGGCTCACCTGACTTAGCAGGAGTCTTGCCATAATTAATGCTACACCCCTGCAGGCCCTGGGGGCTCAGCAGAGCACAAGACCAATGGGGTCCCAGAAGCTCTGCAGTGTGGGAAGTATCTGGGGAGACAGACAATAATCACACACACAACTGTCAGGCTGCTTTCTGATAACAATGAAAGGGAACAGGAACCTGGGCCACGGGGGTACAGAGCAAGTGACATGGGGGCAGGTGGTCAGGACAGGTCGCTCTGGATGAGGAAGCAGCCGGAGAGCTGGCGAAAGAGCATTCCAGGCAGAGGGCACTGCCCGTGCAAAGGCCCAGAGGGAGGGAGAGCGGCCGAGTTTGAGGAATAGTGAGGAAGTCAGTGTGGCCCAAGTAGAGTGAGTCAGTGTGAGCGAGAATAACAAGCAAAGAAGGTAAGAGGTAGGCAGAGTCCAGAGCGGACGTTTCTATTCTAAGAAATATTTAGCAAAGAACAGAGTCCACACGTCCCTATTGGCCCTGAAGGGTGGTCATGTTCAGAGCCTGAAGGTGTAGGCATGGAAACAAGCATCTGCCGAACTCCTATGCACACTTCAAGACCCATTGTTTATTGCCCAGTGGGAGTTAAAAAACCAGAGCATCCCACCCCCCCAGCCCCATTCTCCACAGCCTCCCTGGAAATTCACCCAGAGCAGGGGGTGAGGTTCATTTGGCCCTTAGCCTCCTTCCCGTAGGACAGTGATCCAGTTGATGGAATCGACAGGGACAGATTTAGGCTCAGTCTAGGCAAGCTGAGCGTTGCTGCCCTATGTGAGATGGTGAGTTCCTGGTTCCTTGGAGGCATGCAAGCCAAGCCTGGAGACAGCCCATTGGGGATGCTGCAGGGGAAGGAATACCTTCCCTGGGAAAGTGCTGGTAGACCAGGTGACCCCCAGCCTCGCCTCAAATCCCGCCCAGCCCCAAGATTCGGGGCCTCCACCCTGGCCCTGTGCACTGAGCCCCGCTGGCTTCCAGCCATGATCGGCTGCTCTGTCCTTGAAGGCAAGACCTATACGGAGAACTAGTGGACGAGGTCACCTCCTGCAGCCTCCGCCGGTCCACCCACAATGCCACACACACAGAGTACACGTGCCACATGGATGTGTTCCACTTCATGGCCGACGACATTTTCAGTGTCAACATGACAGATCAGTCCGGCAATCGCTCCCAGGAGTGTGGCAGCTTTGTCCTGGCTAAGAGCAGTGAGTATCCCTCGGGACCCGGAGCACAGGTCCCCCTGCCCCCTGGGCCGGCCCTCCCCCATCATCGAAACCAACCTGTCTTGTGTCCTTATTGCCCTTAGAGTTTGTTCTGCAGATGTGAAGTCGTGTTGGGTTGATAACTAGGCTTGGGCCTTAACCAAAGAGAGGAAGCAGAGGCACGAAATGGGCCTGGCCCGGGGCCCAGGACCTGCCTGTAGGTGACCTTGGACTTGTTCACTCTTTGTAGAATGAGGGCCCTTTAAATCCCAACTCTCTGGGATTCTGCCCCCATCATGAGGGGGAGACTGTCACAAGGGAAAAACTTCCCTGAGATTTCTCCCATTTATGGGGCCCAGAATTTCCCTCCACCCTGGAGGAAGGGAGGGACCCTGGTGGAAACCGTTGTTTCTATGGGTCCAGAACCAGGGTGGGGCGGGGAAGGGCATAGGAAGCAGCTGTGTGCGTGTGCTTGTGTGTGTGCGTGCGCGTGTACCCAAAGTGGAGGGTCCAGGGAGCGAGTGAGAGCCCCGTGCCCAGAGGCGTGCAGACAGACCGCCAAGAGGGACCTGCCCTTGGGAAGGCTCAGCCCCTGAGGTCTGGGAGTTACTGTCCCCAGATTCCCGGCGGTGGGACAAGAAGATAAGAGGCCATCGTCATTCACACTCTGGGGGTCCATGTTTGCACCACTTGGCACACAGCAAAGCTTCACATGTATCCAGACGCACCCACACTTGTACACGTGCACACACACACAGTCATAAGTACACCCTCAAATGCACAGATGTCCCCCCAACCCTGGCCTGGACAGCATGGACAGAGACACTGTCTCAGACACGTGCACATGCATGCATACGGGCACGCACGTGCTCATTGGGCCCTCTGGATCTCAGCGTGGCAAGCTCACGGAGCAGGGCCACCCTCCGGCCTCTGAGCGAGAGGCAGCAACCCACCTTTCCAGTTCCTTCCTGCGGCCCCTGCAAGTTTCATTTGTTGATCTACAAATATTTCTCCTGCTCCTGCCCTGTCCTGGGAGCCGTGGGCGCAACACTGACCCCGGAGAGGACAACCTCTGCCCGACGCAGCTAAGATCCCGGAGGAGGGGCGGGTGGTGCCTCTGCTCCTGTACGGAAGTGATCGCTTTTGTCATTAGCATTAATTCATATTAACGATCGCACGTTAGCATCAATTAATATTAACAATGGTTCATTAGCATCGATGCTAATGGAGAATCTTTGGGCTTCTCAGGGAAGCTGGAGCTAAGAGCAAATGATGTCATCGTCTAGGCACGGGTGCCTCTGGCTCACATGTTGCTTGGCAAGGTTTTGGATTAGTGGCTCCTTCAGGGCTTGAGAGAGCTTCTCCCCGTCTGGGATTCCAGGTTGTCCTTCTCTGGCCACCCTGGTCTGCAGTCCTGCCCAGCCTGAGTGATGGCATCTCCTTTTACACTGGGAGGGCCCTTTACATGGCCTCAGTCCCCAGACAGGCTTTGCCCACCCCTGTCACCCTCCTGCCCCTGCAGCTGCAGCCCCCGGCTAGTCTAAACCTTCCATTTCCCAGAGGAACAAATTGAGGCCCAGAGACAGGGGCTGTTTCCCCCAGAGTCATTTGGGGTGTGGGGGACACGGATCCCGACCTCACCATCGCCCAGCCAGGGTCGGGGAACTTCTTCCCGCCACCACACCCTCCTCGGCTGCTGCCCAGTCTCACCCCTTCTTATCTTTCTGGCTTTTTCCTTTAAGTCAAGCCGTCCCCCCCTTTCAATGTGACCGTGACCTTCTCGGAACATTATAACGTCTCCTGGGACTCCAATCACGATTCCTATCCGCTGAAGGGCAAGCTACAACATGAGCTGCGGTACAGGAGGCAGGGAGACCCCTGGGCACTGGTGAGGCTCTCGGGGGACAGAGGGGAGGGGAGGCACAGGGCTGAGCAGCCTGGGTGCTGGCGGTGGGGAGGGGGCTCCTAGAGACAGCGTGCCAGAGAGGAAGGGGTTGGCATTTCCCCGGGCTCCACCTTGAGCCCGGTCACAGTAGAGGAAGTTTCAGAGATGGGCACCATCCGGAACCTTCCCGCTGGGCTTAGAACAGCCACAATTGAAGAACGCTGGAGGTTTCAATAACCGAGAATGTCCAGTGTTAGAGGGACCATTGTTTCCCAGCTGAAGGCTTCTGGAGGTGTCCTTGTTTGTTTAGAGTGTTGGAGAGATCCCAGATGGCCCTCTCTTCAGAACCATGGCGGCCAAAGACCTCTAGAATCATCCACCCTTCAGAGGGGTCCCGGTTGAAGAATTCCATACGTGCGGTAGTTTGGACGGTCCCCAGGGGAAGACGTCCAGAGGCATCCGTTCCTGGGATGCCTGTGGTTGAAGGCTTCCAGAAATGCCTGCTATTGAGAAGGCCCTCTGTGGGAGAATCCCAAAAGTGCCCACTGCGTAAAAATTCCCAAGAGGGGGCCACCCCTGCTCCTGGGGCGTCCCCAGCCCCTGCGGCGAGGGTCCCCTGCCAGGACAGCTGGGGTCACAGGGAAACAGAACAAGGCGTTGTATGACATGCAAGGTTTAGGCAGTGCCCGTGGCTCCGTGTTGCCCCCACCCTGCAGTGGCCGGGACTCAGGCTGAGCCTGGTCCTTGTAGGGGGGCAGGGACTCTGCAGGAGAGACGTGGACCCTCTCGTGGTGCTTCTGCTGCCGGTGGGGGCTGGCCTGGGCCGACCCGGTGCATCCTGTCTCTGTGCTGGCAGAGTCCGGGGAGAAAGCTGGTCTCCGTGGATGCGAGGAGCGTCTCTCTCCTTCCCTTGGAGTTCCGCTTTGACTCGGACTACGAGGTCCAGGTGCGCTCGGGGCCGCAGCCCGGCTCTTCCTTCCAGGGGACGTGGAGCGAGTGGAGTGACCCAGTCACCTTTCACACCCTGCCGGAAGGTGGGTAGGACTCCTGTGAGGCATCCGGTTGCTCCTAGTCACTCCATGCTAGGGGCATCTGCCCATTTTGCAGCTGAGAACACGGAGGCTCAGAGAGATGAAGTCGCTTGTGTGGGGCGGGGGTGGGAGCAGGCCGCCAGCCCGTCTCACTTCGAGGCACCGGCAGCCTCCAATGCCCCGCCACACCAGCCCCGACCCGTCGACCACCACCCCCCCTCCCCCGCCCCCTGTGGCCTCCGCTGGAGGTTGGTTCCATTTTACCCAGGGTCTGCTTCCTTCCTAGAGCTAAAGGGAGACGGCCACATCTACCTGCTGTATATCTTCCTGGTCATTGTAGTCATAGTCTTCTTGGGCCTGAAGATCGACCTGCCTTGGAGGTGAGGCCGGGGATTCGGGGAGGCAGGGAGGGGTTCGGCCTCTCTGTGCCCACCCACGGTTGGGGGACACAACCTGTCATCGCGACAGTGATAATGACAGTGACGGAGATAGGAAACGGCTCCTGTTGACTGGGCACGGTGCAGCTGGGGTGCCCACTCACCCCTTCACAGCAGCCCTATGAGCTGGATATTCGGTGACAACCTTCACTGCGCAAATGGGGAAACCGAGGACGCGCAGAGCTGTCAAAGAACTTGCCCAAAGCCGCACAGCTCTGAAATAGAGGGGCTGAGCCTGTGCTCCTGACGGTGACGTAGGCTATGATCTCGTCTGGTGAAGTTTAAGCTTTGAGTCCGGGGTTTGGGGGCGGGGGGTCACGTGGGGCCGCCAGGTGGGGGTGAAAGGTTTCTGCTGAAGGTCGCCACCGATTAACGTTGAAACCTAAACGCCCTTGGCCTTCATGAGTGCTGCTGGCAGAGGCAGGAAATGCAGGTGTCGCGTGCCGAGCCCTGGGCAGGGGATCCGCGCCCCCACAGCCCCCAACCCGCCCCGGGCGCAGTTCAATTCTTCGTCTTCATCCAGAGGCAGGGAAGCTGGAGGGGGAGAGAGAGCGACACGAGTAACAGCGGAGAGCACGGAGCACTGTCTGGCTGCCGGGGAGCCGGGGCGCCGTGCGGACACCCACCGACCGCTCCTCACTCCCCTACGGCGTCCCTGGTGGCAGAGGAGGGAGTCGAGGCTCAGAAGGGGCAGCACCAGCCCTGCAGAGAATAAGCAGTCAGGCACTTAAACCCTGGGCACTTTCACGAGACTCCCTGCCCCCATTTTACAGATGTGGCAACTGAGGCCCGGGAGTAGAGGACTGGAAGGGAGGTGCCGGGGTGTGTTTTGGGAGGGGCTGAGTCTCCTGCGGGACAAAGTGGGGGGGGCACCTGAGTGGGAGGCCGGGCTGCCTTCTGGGGGGCTGGGGAGCTGGGTTCTCACCTTGTCTCTGCCCTCCCAGGCTGTGTAAAGAGTGGGTACAGGTGCCCAGCCCAGAGCAGTTCTTCCAGCCCCTCTACGTGAGCCACAGCGGAGACTTCAGGGTGAGTGCCCTGCCCCCGGGGACAGGCCCCTCGAAACCTCTCGTCCCCTGGGGGCGTACGTGCACCAGGTGTGGGCCCAGAGCCCCCGGGCCCCAGCCAGGCCTCGGTCGCCGCACCTGCAAAGTGCAGGAAATCATTCTGGTGGAGCAGACCTGTTGTAAGAATGACACGACACCGGGCGGCATTTCCCGACCGGGGAGCCCAGCTGGGCCACAGGCTGGCCTCCTGGGTCTTTTGTCGGGAGCCCTTGACAGGGAGGTAGACGGGGAGCGGGTTCTGGGGAGCCTCTGGCCCTACCTGCAAAACACGGGGATCTCCCGCTGAGCCCCACCCACCCGGCACCCGCTGGCGCCCACGGGGCTCTGTGCCCATTTACCGCTCGACACCCACCCAGCGTGGGAGGGCCCGCCGCACAGAGGATGTGGTGACTGGCGGGGAGGGGGGTGGGGGGGGGGCGGGGAGGGGAGCAGCCCGCCTCCTCCCTCTGAACCTGGATGTCAGGAAACGCGGACCAGAGCAGTAGCTGAGCCCCTGCTGGCTGGCTGGCACCGCACTGAGCGCTCTCTGCTCCCTGCCCCTTCCGTCTGAGGCTCGGGGTGGGGAAACGGCCTTAGGGAGGCAGGGGAGCGGCCCAGGCTCCCCCCCCACCCCCGACCCCACAGGAGAGAGACTTTTGTCTCCCCTCTGCACCTGCCCTGAAGCTCGAGCACCTGTTTGGTGCTCCCTCGACCGACCCTCAGGAGCTTCAGAGATAGGAACCCGTTCACTCTTTGCAACAACCCCGTGGGGTCAGTGCCACTGGTAGGTCCGTTTTGCAGAGGAGAAAACTGAGGCACAGAAAGGCCAAAGTAATTTCAAATCAGTCACGGGGGCCTCAGCCGGGTCCTGAGATGGGTTTTCTGAGGCAGAAGGTGCCCGAACTGGGAGCCCTGGGTCCTCAGGGATTTTCACTCCCCATTGGGTGGGGGCCCTGTGTCATGAGTGGGACCCCCGGCCAGCGAGGGCAGGGGGATTCTCAAAGCTTGGGGGCTGCCGCCTCGGTTTATCATCGCCCCACATCCTTCACCCATTAAGCGCACAGAGGCCTTTCCAAGCGGCTTGTCGCTGATTCACTCTGTGCGTTCGTTTAGTTAATAAGCATTTATTAGGCACCTACTTTGTGCGAGGCGCTGTGTGAGCCTCTAGGGACGCAGCTGCGACCGGAAGAATGGAGGCTGGTGCCCGAAGCGTCCACACTAGTGGGGACACCAACAGGAAAATGGTCATTATCGAGAAGCGTCCCGGAGGAAGTGAACCGGGGGACGAGGCCACGGCTCTGTCACCCTGGACTCAGGCCCTCCAGCCCCCATGTCCCCGCCACTCAGGAATCTTGGCCCCCACTACCCAGGCCCTACGCAGGCCCCGGGCCTCTGAACACCAGTGGTCTGGCAGGCCCCTGCAGGTGGGGAGACCGAGGCCCGCGGAGGAGGGGACGGTGGTGAGGAGCGTGTCTGGACGGTGCACACCAGGGTTCTGGCCGCCATCACTCTCTTTATCTACTGGTGTCCCCGTCACTTACTGTCTCTGTCTGGTCTCTGTGTCTGTTCACACCATCCTCGCCCGTGTCCCGTCATGACCGGCCCCTTTTCTCTTGTACAGAAATGGGTGGGCACGCCCTTCACTGCCTCCAGCTTGGAGCTGGTGCCCTGGAGCCCAGAGGCGCTCTCGTCCCTGGAGATGCACACCGGCTGCCCGCCGCAGGGTGCCAGCAAGGGGCCGGAGCCCACGGAGCTGCCGGAGCCCGCGGACCTGGTGGAGGCGGACGGGCTGCCCGAGCTGGGCTTCTGGGGCCCAGCCCACTCCGTCGTCAGCAGCCTCGGTGGCTCAGCTTACAGCCAGGAGAGGGACCGGCCATACGGCCTCGTGTCCATTGACACGGTGACCGTGGCAGGCACCGAGGGGCCCTGTGCCTGGTCCTGCACCTGCGGAGATGATGGCTACCCAGCCCTGAACTTGGACGCCAGTCTGGAGCCTGGCTCGAGCACTGGGGACCCGCTCTTGGACACAGAGACCACAGTCCTGTCCTGTGGCTGCGTCTCGACTGGTGGCCTTGGCGGGCCGGACAGCCCTCTGGGCAGCCTCCTCGACAGGCTGAAGCTGCCCCTCAAAGATGAGGCGGGTTGGACCCCGGGGCCTCCTTGGAGCGGCGGGCCACCCCGAGGGGTGCCTGGAAGCGAGGCAGGCTCGCCCCCGGCCGGCCTAGACATGGACACTTTTGACAGCGGCTTCGCGGGCTCTGACTGCGGGAGCCCTGTGGAGTGTGACTTCGCCAGCCCCGGGGACGCAGGGCCCCCCAGGAGCTACCTCCGCCAGTGGGTGGTCATGACCCCTCCACCTGAGGGGTCTGGGCCGCAGGCCAGCTAGCGAGGCCGACTGGCCGTCCGGAGCCGGCCGAGCCACTCGGCCCTGAGCCAGAGCTGGGGACCCCTGGGCCGGAGGGTGAAGCGGCCTGCAACCTCCTGTCCCCCCGACGGGGCCCCCGGGCCCGGTGTTTACGGCGACCCAGGTGCACACTGCTGTGTCCGTGTGTGACCAGCACAGCTGCCAGAGGGCACAGGGCGTGCCTCGGTGAAGCCACGTGCCCGAGGCCACACACGTCTGTGCCCACACGAGGTTGCCGTGTGTACGGATGTGAGAAGCACATGTGTCCGTGACTGTGTGCACGGGATGCCAGCCTCGCTCCTCGCCAGACACGTGGGGTGGCCCCAGGTTGTGTGCCGAGGGGCTGGTCCAGGGTTACTCACGGCCCTGCCGGGACCAGGCCACTGCCTGCGGCGTCCGAATTCCAGCCCTCCGGATCCGGCCTCCAGGAGCCGCAGGACGTCCATACTGTTCCTCTTCACTTCTCGGGGCGGGGAAGAGGATGGAGGGGGCCCACCGTGATCCTGGGTGTGGGGAGGTTTGGGGGGAGCCTGGTGGGTCAAGATCTGCTTCCTAACTGTGATGCCTCTGGGCTGTGCCGCCTTGGGCCAGCCGCTTCCCCTCTCTGGGCTGGAGTTTCCCGTTTGGACTAGGGTGTGGGGGGTGCGTGACCCATCTTGGGGAGAAATGGGTGAGGTCACCCAGGGTACAGGGTGCGACAGAGCAGACCCTCAATAAACTCAGTTTCCTTCCTTCTGCTGCCCAGACCAAGCCTGGTGCTGGAGGTGGGCGGGGTTGAGAAATCAGCCACAGCCCGGGCGCCTGTGGGCTGTCCCACCAGGCTGAGGGGCACACGGGGGGTTTCCAGGCTTAACATCAGCCTGTCTCTTAGAAACAGCCCCCACCAACCAAGATTTCTGTTTCTGGTTCCTGCTGCCCACTTAGTTATTCCTTTAACGCACCCAAGAAATATTCATGGGGCACAAGTACGTGCCGGGTTCTGGGGTACCCGGGGGCGGCGGGGCGGGGGGAGCGCTGGGGGTGGAAACCTCCCTTGGGGGAGGGGCGGGCAGGAATCGGCAGTGATGGTGTAGCCCTCCGTTCCCCTCCGGGGACTCAGGGGGAAGTCAAGTTCTTGTTGATGATTTATCAGAGAGCCTGTTCAAATGTGAATTAAGAAGCTAAGAAAACACTTCTTAGCCACGTTTGAAGGCACCTTCCTGAACATGAGCTTTGCACGGGAGCTGGGTATCAGTCAACTCCTACTTTTACATCAACAACAAAAAACCCCACAAGAACATAGATCGTTTTTCCAATAAGGGTGCTCACCTTTAGAGATGGCTTTTTCCTTTAAAAAAATTTTTTTTAAATGTTTATTTATATTTGAGAGAGAGAGAGAGAGAGAGACTGAACAGGGGAGGGGCAGAGGGAGACACAGAACTCGAAGTGGGTTCCAGGCTCCGAGCTGTCGGCACAGAGCCTGATGCGGGGCTTGAACCCACAGACCGAGATCATGACCTGAGCCAAAGTCGGGTGCTTAACAGACGTAGCCCCTTAGGTGCCCCTAGAGACGGTTTTTTCAAGACCACCAAGCAGGGTTAAGGAGGCAGAGAGTGGGGTTCAGCTGGCCTGCTCTCAGAGCCCTGGGGGCATCCCCACTCTTGCCTGGAACTGTCTGAGCCCGTCCTCCTGCCATTGTCCCCAGAGGCCAGGCCGCAGGGTGACATTTTCTAAAGGAGAAAGCTCTGGTTTGTCTCTCCTCTTGGATGAATCTGACCTACAAGTTGGTAGATGTCAGTCGGTCCTGCTGAAAGCCTCCCTGTGACTCATCTGTAAGATGGGGTGAGTGGGGAAGTCCCCGAGAGAGTCACACATGAAACTCCTTGGTGCTGAAAGTTCTAGAACATTGATGGCTTCAACCGTGGGGCTGCGGACCCGGGATCAAAGTGAGCGAGGCTCACACAGGAGCTGGAGTCTGAAACCGGAGGCCCTGCTCGTGCGAGCAGCCCTCCCCATCCCCCACCACCCCCCCACCATCCCCCACCATCCCCCCGGGGACACTTGGGCCAAGTTGTGCTGTGGTTTTCACATCCTCTCGGGGGCAATGGGGTCCAGGGGCCACCTGAGCCACCAGCTCCCTGGGGAGGCAGCCCAGCTCTCCAAGCGACAGAGCTCTGGGCTGGGGTGCAGGGGAGGGGCACCAGGGTCATGGAGGCCAGGCCTGGGGCTTGGTGGGGGGCTCGGGCCTGGCCCTGCCACGGCTCCTCACTGCCTCTGTGTCTGAAGGGGACTCCGCTCCTAAACTCGGGTGCAAAACAGAGGAAGAGCTGGCCCTCCTGGGAGGACAGATGAGCAGAGGTGGGTGGATGGACAACAGAGGGGCCGGTGGGTGCACGGATGGGTGGAGACAGGGACAGCGAAAGCCTCGAAGGAAGAACTCTGGAAACAGGCGCTGGAGACAAAGACGCCAAGTCGACCCTAAGCTCCACGAGGGCGACTTGCTCGATTTTGTTCACTGCTCCATCTGCAGCCCGGCACATCCGAGCCCCTCAAAACAGCCCGATTTGTATAGTGTGTGGCATGTGCTAATTTCCATGGTGTAGACGGCTGATTCCCAGCTACTCACCCGGCAACTCTAAATGGGATCGGGAAAAGGGGGCGTGCCATCGACTCTCCCGGCTGGGCCCGGCCAGCCCCGGCAGCACGCCCCACTGATGGGAGCCCAGAGGGGCATCAGGAGGGGCTGGGGGGCTTCAGAGAGGAGGTGGTGTTTGTTGCACTCTGAAACACGAATAGGAGCTGTTCGGTTCACCAGCCCTTCAGGCAAAAGGAAGAGGTTGAGGAAGGACCTGGAGGTATGTTGGAGCCCTGAGCATCTGCAGGTGGGGAAGGTGAGGCCAGAATTGCCAATGAGTCTCTCTCTCTCTCTCTTTTAAGTTTATTTATTTATTTTGAGAGAGAGAGAGCACGAACAAGCGAGGGGCAGAGAGGAGGAGAGACAGAATGTGAAGCAGGCTCCTTCCCATTAGCACGGAGCCCGACACTGGGCTCGAACCCACAAACCACGAGATCATGACCCAAGCTGAGATCGAGAGTCAGACACTCAACCCCGCTAAGACTCTTTTAAGAGTCAGGAGGATCGGGGCGCCTGGGTGGCTCAGTGGGTTAAGCATCCGACTTCGGCTCAGGTCACGATCTCAGGGTTCTTGTGTTCGAGCCCCACTTTGGGCTCTAGTCTCCTGGTCCCAAGCACAGCTCTGCTCTGCTGGAAGGGACCGAGGTCAAGAGGTAACAAACTCTCAGCAAACACCCGAGGCTGCCTGTTGTTCCTGCCTGTGCGGCGTCCGTGTGGGGCTGCTGACCCCAGCTCTGGGAGTGGCCACTGCATGACCCGGGCCTGGCTGACAGAGCATTCTGTGCCCCTCCCAGCCACGCTGCTGGTTCAGGGACATGCACATGACCCGAGCAGCTCAGTGTGCTCTTTCTGCTGGAACCGCTGAACGATAGGACGGACTAAACAAAGCCTGGGGCCGCGGGGCAGGGTGGGGGGCACCAGGAAGGAACAGTTCACCTGGGATGAGGCCAACCCCCAAGAAAGCAGAGCCGGGAGTGGAGAGAGATTCCTGGTAATACCTCTTGAGCTCCTGGATCCAGCCATGCCTGAAACCACGGGTGCGGAAGTCATTATGCTGTTGACCAAGTATTTCCAGCTCTTCCCTCTCTGGTTCCTCTTGTGTGGTACCACGTGACCGGGACTGGCCAGTGAGTCGTAAGGAGAAGTGGTGACGTCTCACTTCTGGACTGGAGCGTTTCCCTGACCATCGTGATGTCCTCCAGAGCGCTGTTCCTCTCTGCCACCGTGACGGGTGAGCTGGTGGCTGCTCCATCAGGAGACACGGAGAGCGGAGTCTCCAGGTCCCCCGAGAGGGACACGAGTCGTGAGTGAGAAATAAATCCCTGTTGTAGCCTACCAAGATTGGGGGGCTGCTTGTTAGCTCAGCACAACCCAGCCTGGCCCGACTGGGCTGAGGGGCCATGAGTTTCCCTTTTTGGCCTCCGTGGGTTTGAGATGGTTTTGTGTCGCTTGCAGTGGGGAGTGTCCTAGCCTCGTGAGGACTCCCCTCCCATCCTGAGACCAGAGGACCAGGTTCCGTCCCTTCTCACGAACAGCCTTGGGCTGTCGCTCTCTGTCTCTGAGCCTCAATTTCCCCGTCGTCGTTGGGCAGGGGGTGGGGGACAGCCACCAGTCCCTCAGCTTGCTGGGAGGGACCGCTCACCTGGGATGAGGCCAACACACAAGAAAGCAGAGCAGGGGCAGAGCCTCTCCCTGGAGGCTCCCTGTTGCAGGGGAAGCCTCTGCCCCCTTCCCACCTGGGACTGGCCACCGGAACCGTGTAGGGCACATCCAACCGCAGCTGCTCCGGACGTTTCTCGGAAAACCGGGGACAGGAAACATGGGAGAATCAGCACGTGCGTTTCCTGTCCCGGGAGCCCATCACACCCAGAAGGCAGGAGGAAGCAAGCTGCGTTCTCAGCGGGAAGGAAACGGGAGAGGGATCTTCGGCACTCAAGAAACATCAACCCTGGAATGGGAAACAAGGGGGACCACGTCTCCGCTCAGATGTCACCTTCTCAGCAGGACCTGCCCAGGGCCCCTCACTCAAAGCCAGAGCACCCCCCGCTGATGTAGTTTTCTTTCTTTCCATAACCTTTTATTAAGCTCTGAACTATATCTTTGATTTATTTTCTTTACTGTCTATCCCACTAGCACAGGGGTTTTGTCTTTTTTGTTTGTTTGTTTTTTGGGATTTTTGTTGTTGTTGTTAAAGATAATTTTGCTTTTTGCTTTCTTTTACAAGTTTTTAAAAATATTTATTTATTTTCAGAGGATGGGGGAGGAGCAGAGAGAGAGGGAGAGAGAGAATCCCAAGCAGGCTCCATGCTCAGCAGGGAGCCCGACGCAGGACTCGATCCCATGACCCTGGGATCACGACCTGAGCCAAAATGAAGAGTCAGATGCTTAACCGACTGAGCCACCCGGGCGCCCTGGGTCTTGTCTGTTTCATTCACTTCTATGTTTCAGAGTCTAGAATAGCACCTGGCATAGAGCAGGTGTTCAGCAAATACTGAGTAAATGAATGAATGAGTGAGTGAGTGAATCAATCAAAGGCAGAATATCCGCTGACAAGGCAGTGGGCAGAGAGGAAGGAGGGGACCGAGACCAGGAGAGGGCCACCTGGCCCCGACCCTGGAAGTGCCACAGAATACAGAATACAGAGATGAAGACAGGGGCCTGCTTGGAAGTCTGTAAATGGAGCAGGAGACCCTCCCCTATTGCTCACACCATGGGGTCTTTCCCCCATCTTTAGTGGCAAGAGATTCGAGGCTGAGATTTGATCTCAACCGCAGCCCAGGCTGGACAGACCTCTGGAGAGCCCGCTGAACGAGCAGCGAGCAGTGCTGCCACCTGCTGGTGACCACTGGAACTAGGCTGACGTGTCCCTGGAGGACAGCGGCCTCAGGCTGGGGTCAGGTGGCTTATATGGCCCTGTACGATGGTCACAGCAACCCTCCGCAGTGGGAATATGGTGGTGAGGACACAAAGTGAGCTGATGGGGTTCTTTCGTTAATTCAATACGGGCTGACTGCTACGCGTTGGGCGGCTGGACATGCACAGGGCCCTGGAGGGTGGGGGTGGTGAAATCTCACCAAGCAGGGAGACCGCACGTGTGCACGCACACCCACGCACATGCACGTCCACA